TTTTTGTGAATATAGAATGTAAACAAAAAACAACATCCATCATATAATTATGTACACAAATAACTCAATTTATAGAGGTAAAAAGGAAATATGTCAACAAGTTCAAACATGTTCAACGCTAGGATTTAAATATGAATTTATAATAAATTATCAAAATCTATATTTATCTTCAATTTATTTCGTCACTTTTCGTATAGAATACCAGTAAACTAGCATTAATGATTTACGTTATTATACAAGCCGACGACCTATTAGCTCTTGTACTTTGTGTTTTAAAACTGTCTATTGATTTATATATTTCATTCATGTTTTGATAAATTACTAATACATTTTATAACTCCTTTACTCAGTTGCTCAGTAGAGTAAATTAAAATATCCAACGGTTACAGTTTTACGAACAGTTATATTTAATAGCAGTCTCTCTGTGTGTGGACGTTGTAATTTTACTGCTATACTTCTGTATCTTTCTTCTTTTCTTTTTTTATTTTCCAGAATTTTAAATATAATAGTTGGTAGTTTTATATTAGTGCACACATATTGTTAGTTTGGTTATCCATGCAACAGTCAAAACTACACATAGATAAAGCTTTCAGATTTATCTTTTGTCTGTGTTAGACGCTATAAAAATATAAATATTTATATTTTTATCTTTGTCTGAAAATCTATTATGTACGCCAAGTGGCCAGACATGGCCAGGTGGTTAGGGCGCTCAGCTCGCAATCTGCGAGTCGCGGGTTCGAATCTCCGTCACACAAAACATGCTCGCCCTTTCAGCCGTGTGGCGTTATAATGTTACGATCAATCCCACTATTCGTTGGTAAAAGAGTAGCTCAAGAGTTGGCGGTGGGGGGTGATGACTAGCTGCCTTCCCTCTAGTCTTTTACTCCTAAATTAGGGACGGCTAGTGCAGATAGCCCTCGTGTAGCTTTGCGCGAAATTCAAAACAAACAAACAATGTACGCCAAGTAACGTTTCGATAGGTATGCAAGTATAGAGACGTAACTGCCCGGGTGGCAATAGATTCGGCTGTATTGATATAAGGAATTTCAGTCTGATGGTAATTGTAATATGAGATCGCGCGTGGCCTAGTGAATATTGTGCCGTTCATGGAATCCTAGATATTATGGTTTATGTCCCGTTGCTAAAAAATTGCCCTACCATGCTTTAGGGGTGGTTGGTACCTTATAAGAATGGTGGTCAAAACCCATAATTCAATTTGCCTTGCCCAAGAGTTGACGATGGGTGTTGTTCTCTAGCTGCCTTCCCTCTAGTTTATAAGCCCGAAATTAACGGTTACTGTAGTTTTATGCGAATATCCGAAAGAAACTCGTAACATAACTTATAAATAAGCCCCTTTATTATAACAAAAAATATCTTTCTACAATTCAATATTGCGTTATTAATTCTCAGTTTTACAAAGTCTTACTTATCTCTGAATTGTATGAAAGTTAAATAAACTGATAAAATTTGAGTATGATATATAGTTTGTTCTCTATTTCAAAAAATATAAATATTTTCATGCTGACACTTAGCGCTGATACGATAAGTCGTCTACGACGTCAGGTTCCATACTATATTAGCGCTCGTAAAGGTGGTGAGGAAAATATCCCATTAGTAAAAACGCGAATAATTTCAAGAACTTGTGAAACATCTCAAAGTAGTTATATATAATTTTCTTTTTTAAAGTAACTTTTTTTAATGAGTTCTTACTATTTATTAGGTGTCGTTGTTTTTTTTTGTTCTCCGTTGCTTATTTATATAGCCTAGGAATTTAAAGTCGCCTGAAGTATTGAAGTGTATTAAAACACTTGACCAATTACATTTAAAGGCTAGCATACATGTAGAAACATGTTTCTAGAAGTAAAAAATACGTTTCTTCAGAAATTATCAGGAAACGTTACATGGAGTCATTTTTAAGTTGCACATGATCATTCTTGCCACCCCCAGTGGCACAGCGGTATGTCTGCGGACTTATAACGCCAGAATCCGGGTTTCGATACCCGTGGTGGGCAGAGCACAGATAGCTCATTGTGTAGCTTTCTGCTTATTTACAAACAATTACAAACATTCTTGCCACATGCTTCGAAATAGATGAAAGCCTTTTCTGCTGAGGGGTGCCGTACTTATAATTGCATTAAAACTTCGCAAAAGAATGAAAAAATCGCAGAAATAAATTTGTGTGGATCTTAAATTGGCATAAGAGAGAGGAACGTATAATCTTTTAAAGGATCTAACTGTAAATGATCGCTTAAGTTTTTGTAATTCCTAAACTTTCTTTTTCATGTTTCGACTGTGGTAGTATTTGTTTTTATATCAAAAATCCATAGCCTGTCAGCGTACTTTTCAGCAAATTATTATCTGTAAGAGGGTCCAAAGCATTCCATCTTCTGCTGAAGTCGCCATCTTGGAAAATCACATGACATTTCAAACTCACGATAACAGAGTCTCTTCTTATTGCCCAAAGGTTTTGTTTGTTTGTAGTTAAGCGCAAAGCTACACAATGGGCTATTTGTGCTGTTCCCACCACGAGTATGGAAACACGTTTTTTTAACGTTATAAGTTTTTTCAGACTTGCCACTGGGGGGAGCTAGCCAAAAGCTAAATGTTTCTCAAAGAGAAGTCAGGCCTACTCCAAAACACATGCTTTCTCGATTCTAGAAACATGGAAAGAGTCATAATGCACGAGAAAACATTGTATTCTCGAAACATGTTTTCCCGTGTATGATGACCTTAAAATATATAGAACTTATATTTCCATAAATCAGATAACGTCTTTAAAACATAGATATTCTTGACTTGATATAAGATATACAATTCTCTAACCAAACAAAAACATATTTAATGGTTAATCTAACGAGTATCACCTATTATTAAGATGCTTACATTTATTCTTGTCGTCTATTTTCAGAGAGTGCTATGGGAATTAAAATTCACGCACAGAGCAATAAGGAATCACCGTACGTGAAGGCTTTATACGAGTAAGTTTCAATACATCAAGTGTGTTCGTTTTTTTGTTTTGTTTCTAATTCAATTTTTGAAACCCAAATCACTTTAACTGTGTATGGCCATCTTTAAATAATGTATCAAATATTGAATTTGGTTACATGTCCATTTCTGTTAAAGATTTTAAACTTAATAAGCGCTTAATGTTATATTTCAATTGCAAGCATTAGATTTCAACAGAATCTTATTTAAAGATGGCCATACTGTATCAAATATTGAATTTGGTTACATGTCCATTTCTGTTAAAGATTTTAAACTTAATAAGCGCTTAATGTTATATTTCAATTGCAAGCATTAGATTTCAACAGAATCATTACAGTCTTTAAATATTTTGTATATTTGTAAAGGAAGTAGCAGATCATGCTTGCGACATTAGTTTTGTTAAGTGAATAATCTTAAGTTAGATTGAAAAGAATAGGAAATGATGTTAAAATTTATAGCTTATGGAAAGACTTTGGCGCCATCTGTGTATTTGTGAAATATTTTGTTATTTTCTTATAAGTATCTGTTTTCTGTTATTTTAATTTTGTTCTTTTTTTTTTCTTTGACAAGGTTTATTGCTAACATAAATTAAGACCAATGTTTTTGTTATTGTTAATATTCTTAAACATTTAAATGTTTATTCTTTTAAAATTAGAAGCAAACTGGCGAGATGATGAAACTAGCTTGACTCACCAGGAAGATTATCTCGTTAATTTAAACCACTTTAATAACTTTCAGCTTATTATTTATTTATCTTTACCTCTTTATTTACATATTCCAGGGTTGGTGAAATGTTTATGTCTCGTATGATGAGACCTTGGCTATGGCCAATGATGTTCTTTTCTTTGTCGTCATACGGACGTCGTTTTCATAAAAGTCTAGCAGATCTTCATAACTTTACTAGATGGGTATGTACAGATTTTATAGACTTTGTGCTACAACTTTACTGAAACACGAAAAATTCTAAACTTTGATTGAAAACATGCGTGTAGGGAAACTTGTATTTCATATTGAAACCACTATTTTTAGAAGATTATTTTTGCGTAACTTTCAATAAGAAGAGATAAAAAAACAACCCAGATTTATACAGTCTCTAACTGCTATGCGAAAGCTGTGCAAATAAATCAAAAATCAATACAGAAATACATTAATACAGTATGTTCATAAAGTATGCATTACGCTTAGAAAAATGTTCGAACGGGCAACATTAACCTGATATTATTCCCATTCAGTCAACTATCTCGCATTTGTAAGCGTTGTATGTAATTCCTTTGCTAATTTTCCAGAAACACAAAATTTCCTGTAGATTACTTCTATAATTAAGAATTAACAGTATGGAAAATAGTAAAAACAAATCGCAATCTTCATGATCTCGCTTCGTTTGTTTGAAGTTAAGCACAAAGCTGCACAATGGGCTACCTGTGTTCTGCCCACTACGGGTATCGAAACCCGGTTTCTAGCATTGTAAGTTTGTAAACATACCGCTGTACCACTGGGTGGAAGGTGGGGGCTCCTGGAAGAAACAAATTTAAATTAACAACTTTTTTAGAATGATCGGTGACCTTGACATATTTATAGTGAGATCAACATACAGTTTTCAATGTTTTCCGTTAAATGCATGCATATCCTTTCAAAACTACACATACACTTTATAATTTATTTCCATTAAATTTGCAACCGAGAGATCCACAAATAAGCATTTACTTTAAATTCAAAACAAATTTTTTTCTCAAAAACCCATCCACATCATTTCACCTTTCGGGATGTTGTCTTATTAATTTTTTCAACCAGGATAAAACTCTGGATTTTTTTTTCTTATTAAACGTTATTATGAAAAACATATAACTGCCATTTTCGTCTACCCGAAACGCCAAGTAAGGGATTTTAGAATTTCAAACGTCATTTATCATAGGGTAAATAGCTTGTTTTGTAGAAACTTTGCAAAATTATATTATTTATAACAGAAAAGATTTTTAAAAATTTTTTAGAACAGTGTCTTAGGTTTATCTATATAAAAAACGAAATACGTATAATAGTGTTTGTTTTTAGAGCAAAGTTGCATTGAGCTATCTGCTATGTTCACAGCAGGAATCGAATCTCAGATTTTAGTGTTGGAAGTCCGTAAACTTATCGCTGTCCTACCTGAGGACGTGGAGCATGGACACTAATTATTTGGTAATAGGTGTCTGGTTTTTCAAATTTAATTTGAAAGATTTTGAAACTGGATACTTTAACTCAAGATGGAATAAGATAGAACATAAAGTCACACCATACTTGTTGATTAGTAGCACTAATGCACTAATGGGAAAACTTATTAGTGCTACTAATCAACAAGTATGGTGTGACTTTATGTTCTATGTTATACCAGGTAAAAACTGTGCAAAGTATATAGGTTAATGTTATTCAAATTGAACACTTAACTATCACCTTGTTACTTAGACAAACTGTTGAACTATTCTAGTTTACGGCTATTTATGGCAAAGTCACACAATCTTTCCCAACTCTGTTAATAATAATTGGAGCCCCTAATGGCTCAGCGGGATACCTGCGGACTGATACAAACCGGGTTTCAATACCTTTGGTGAACAGAGCATAGATAGCCTTTTGTGTAGCTTTGTGTTTATTAACAAGTAACAGCAGGTTATTAATTTGGTGTTTACTCTTTCTTTTCTTCTGTTCATACATGAACCAATGCAGTAAAAAGAGAAATGTAACAAAAGACGTGTAGGTTACTGCATGTAGAGTGGATGTGTATAATTATTCCTTGTCTCTAGTGCGATACCTCATTCAAATATTTATATTTTATATTTGCAAGCAGAATATTGCACTAAATATAAAAAAGTGTATCATACAAAGAAACATATACGGTGTTTCTCGGACTTTAGCAAAAGTAATGATTTCATTTTTAAAAATAAATCCTAATGTTTCAAACCATTGAAACATTCTGCATGTTCTAGATACTAGTTTGTAGGTATTTGAGGGAAAATTATCTGATATTTTTAAAAGGAATCGTTCAGTTTTATTTTGCTCTTGAAATAATTAGATTCGTGTTTCAACTATAAATCTCTTCAAGCTTATCTTGATTGTGCACCAATTTTATCCAGGTTATTCGCAATCGGAAAACTCAGATATTAAACAGTCAACAGACCAATAAAGATGATCTGGGCAGTAATGAAAATGGAGTGATAAGGTTGAAACGACATCAGGCATTTTTAGATCTCTTAATCAATCATCACTTGAAAGATCCCACCCTTACACTAGAAGATATTCGTGAAGAAGTGGACACTTTCATGTTTGAGGTAAAAAAGCATGTCATTTACTCGAATAGATCTTTAATTATTGCTGCTTTATTTAGTTTTCCCACTTCTTTCCGCTAATGAGTAAGACATTTTTTATTACAACATGTCTATCTATATGCACCTACATACAAATACTCAGTGCTACCCAGCTGTATACATGCCACCTATCTTTTTTCTGCTCAACTAAATTTATCACCCAATGGTATGCATACCATCTATCTTCTTGTTCGAACATATGAGGAAAGATCCAGTTGATTCTGTTGAGGTCCAGCTTCATCCAAACTGATCTACTTGGTAATTGGTTCACTTAATAAAATAACCCCAACAATATCGGGATTTTTTTTTAAATACTTTTCTATCCGAATTCGTACGATGCACTGTTTAATTAACTTAAGTATTAAGATTTATTCATTTAAACAGGGTGATTATTTAAGAACTCTACTAGAATCTCAGAACTTGCTAATACCCCTTTCTATGTTTGGATCATTTGAAATTTGCACATCCAAATGTTCTTTGAATATCATGTATATCGTAACATCGTTTTTGTTCTTCTACAAAAGGGACATGACACGACAGCTATGGCAATAAGCTGGACTCTGTATCTTATCGGCTGGAATCGCACTATTCAGCAGAAAATACAGAATGAATTAGACACCATCTTTGGTGATGATTCTACAAGGCCAATCACCTTAGAGGATATAAAACAGATGAAGTATTTGGAGTGTGCACTTAAAGTATGTAATATGTTGTGTGAAGTTTCAATTGTAATAATAAATATATATTTACTGTAATCGTTGGATTTGTTTTTTTCTAATATGCTGCCGTTGTCAACTTTTTCAACGCAATATTGTTTTTTATAGAATATTGTGAAGCATCCAGTAATAGTGCTGATACGAAATTTTCTCCCAATTTTCTCTGTAAAGTGAACTTTTGAGGATTTGGTATTAGCGTACTTTTTTATTCAAATGGTGAAATAGATTTATATTATATTACATATAGCTCTCATCTGGGATTTATTTTCCTTTTTACACAATAATATTTATTGTTCATTCATCTTTAAATCCTCTTCTATCCAGGAAGGCCTTCGCCTCTTCCCATCAGTTCCTTTTATTGGAAGAATGCTTCAAGAAGATATTGTTGTCAGTGGGTATTTTCATTTATTTGTTCAAAAATTGCATAGATACTCAATTATATATTTCGTATTCACATGTTAAAATCTTATTACAACCAAATGATTTTGATATAATATTAACAGTGATGACAATCATTCTTTTCACAAAACCATAATGTTTACTTGTGGCAGAAGATATTATCAGTTTGTGTAAAGTTAATCGAATTTGTTGAAACTATTGTATGTTAAGACAAAAAAAAAACTGTTGGTTTTCCCGAAACTACAGTGCTTTACATGTCAAACGTAGCGTCATCTAGCGATAACTAAATAAAATACTTCTTTAAATTAAAATACGAGCATATTAGAAACAAATGTAAGATAATAAACAATTTACAGGACAAATTTGTCTCGAAGACGGACCGTTAGTAAGACTCAATGAAAACGAAGCAGTAATTATTATGATTAAATTGATAGAGGCAGAAAACAAAAAAATTATAATTTCTAACAAAAATAATCATATGACAACGCATTTAATACTTCTTTGATTTGGTCATTATAGAAAATCCGCAATATTTTTGACAAATGGAAATTATTTCCAAATAATTGTTAGTTTATGTTAAAAGGATTCAGTAATTTACGGTTTTAAAAACAACGCGACAAGTTAATGTCTTTCAACGTGAGTTCATGAGCGTGTCTCTCTTTTCTTAAAAGATTAAGTCATTCGGCTAATCTCAACACGAAACATTCATTGGTTTATTACGACAAATTGGAGTTTTTTTATAGGTAAGTGAAATGTTTTTCTCTCAACAGATGGCTACACTATACCACAAGGGACCACGTGTTTTCTGTTTACGTTTATGTTGCATAGAAATCCAGAAGTGTTTCCAAATCCGGAAATTTTCGACCCGGATCGATTCCTACCAGAAAATGTAGCAGGACGTCATCCTTACGCTTATGTTCCTTTTTCAGCTGGCCCGAGAAACTGTATTGGTAAGCAGAAGTTGCGTAGGGCTAGGAAATTTTAAATTGTTTTCCTATGCTCAAGTTCCTTAGTTATTTTGACTGCATATTTTACAAAAAACAAATAAATAAAAATTTAATAACAGACTATTTCAAATAAAGTAAAAATGGAACAAGTGAGATTTTAAAGGAAATATTTCCCGCCTTAGTCTTTTTCTTGCTGTTATTTTTCTTTTTTTTTTGTGAGTAATGACTGAATATACAGCTGGATTTTCTTCAGATTCTAAATTGTATATTCAGCAAGAAATAAATGAAGTTCGAAATATGTCAAATTTCTAAAGTATTATGAGCCAGGTGTGGCCCAGCCCAAGGTTAAAAAAAGTGATGCCACAGAACATGGTCCGCACTTTCAACTTTCGGTGCGTTATAAAAGTGGCAGGCAATCCCGTTATTCTATTCAAAGAGACAAACAAACTCTTGATGCACCAAGTGCTACTGGCTGGCTGCTCTTTCTCTGGTCAATAGTTTTAAACTAGAGACGGCTATACCTGAACCATAGGGGTCTCTGACCTGGCCATTTAGGCCACGTGCGCATAATAATTCCAATTATAAAGCACAAATAGCAAGATTAACTCTATTCAGTAATTTTATTAAAATTTCGCTTAATTGTCATACTTTTATGTGCACTTCAAATAATTGTTTCAGACTTCAATGTCCATTCGTAAGTTTCCTGAAATTTGTAAAATAACGAAATTGAAATGAAAAAAAATCGGTAAATTTTGACTGCATAGTTTTCACTGTAGCTTTTAATCATTAAATGATAAAAGTGAGACATTGATCCCAATTTATGTGTTTTTGGGCAAAAACAACAACAATGCACACATTCATTTTTCTTTCTGATTTTCTCTGGACCTGAGAAAGACGTAAATAAAATTTTGGATTAAAATTTGTTGCCTTTCAGACTCTGTAAGGAACTTTCACATAGAAATTTAATTGTATTATTTCCCTATTTTTAGTAAAGTAATAAATGTTCTAAAACATTTTACAGGTCAAAAGTTTGCGATGATGGAAGAGAAAGTTTTAATTGCAAATATCCTTCGTAATTTCAACCTAACGTCATTAGACCCAAGAGACAAGATCCATCTTATTGCTGAGATGGTAATCCGGCCAAAACAAGGGTTACGTATGAGAATAACGCCTAGGTGGTGAAATGTAAAAAGTCCGATAATGGTTTTATTCTGTAAGTGTAAGAAACTCAATATGAGCTGATATCTTCATTTATATCGTATATTTTGTCACCTGTATTCAAAGGTAGCAGTTCTTAAAGTTAATAAAGATAACAACATTAAATGTTGTTACCTGGGTTATCGGTAAGCTTGACGTTACTAAGACGTCATATGAAAAAAGCTATAACATTTAAGATCTATTTAGCTATGTGAACAATGGTGTCGCAATTCAGTTTATAATCTTATATATATAATGTGTTCAGTTTCTTGTACGTAGTTGCTAATGGGCCATCTACCTATTATTCAGACTTAGCGCATTAAAGGATAACATATACTATTCATAATTAATGCTTTTTTTTTTTACTTGCAGTATCTTTATAGAAAAGTTTTATTCAGGCTGATAAGTTCTTTCCATTATCGATATCACTGAAAAACAATTATCTTTGAAATTTTACATAAATATAAATTTTTATATAATTTTTTATATAAACCTAAACCATTTACAGTAAGAGATAATAAAAAGAACGAGTACAAAAATGCGTAACGATTTCTGCGATTTTAAGAAACAAACTGTATACATGTATATTCATTTGGCTTCAAAGAATTGCTGAAAGTCAAACTATTGTTGGAAAATATTAACTCTACCATAAGACACCAAACTGAGTTAAATTCTGTATAATTGAGATGCATATTCTGTCAAATAATACAATATAATATAATAATTGTTTCATATATGCTGATGTAAATAAAGATAGTTTATGTATGAATCAAAGGATTATATATATTTTATATAAGCACCCCTTCCCCCGATGGTTGTTCAGCTGGGAGTCTGATGGCATACAACGCTATAAATTGGGTTTTGATATCTGTGGTGAACAGAGCACGGATAGTCTGTTGTGTAATTTTGTGCTTGACAACAAACATGCAAAAATATATTTTATACATTTCTTACCTGTATATTTTGTGTAGCATGTTTAGATGGTGACACAAATTGAGGGCATAAAAGTAGTAATTCGCTATTTGTATACTCCTATTTTCAGGAAAATAAACCAATATTAATGTCTTGTTGTTCTTCATTTTTGATGTTGAACCTCGTCTTTATGTTCAATCTTCAAACAATTTTCGCTTCAGAATATTTTGTTTTCATCATTTGACTCATTCTTTGATTATACTAATTATATGAATAACCTAAAATTGCATTACCTAGAATATTCATTACTTCTTAAGTGTCAACGAATATCTGTAGACCAAAAAAGATGATTCTAAAAATTAAAATATTATACTTCTACCGAAATATTATATTATTTACATTTTTCAAAATGTAAAATATGTTACATAGCAGAAGACTCAGGTCATCAGAAAATAGCTCCTTAGAACACTTTGCCTACTTACCTGAACTGTACAGCGTGTTCGCCATGAATGTGAATTTACTAGAAAACCCAGGAACGTCAACTGTATGTGGGGGGGGGGGGGAATTACATTAAACCCCAAAAAAAGAAAGAAAAACAGACAAAAAATGGTAATATTTACCCTTT